TGCTTATAAGAAGAAAGATTATTTGTAGCGATTGTACAGTTGTGTTCAGTCTTTCTCTATTTTTCTCACGAGCTGAGTTAGTCAGAGAATACAAAATAATTTTACAGTAAATATCTTGGTGAATCTTTGAATATTTGTAGACTTACCTAGTCATTCTTGGAGAAAATCGGTTTTATCCGAAAATCAAATATTGTCTACAAGATGTTTAGTAACTTGTAATATTTCTTTTTTCTCTCTTTGTAATCAGTGTTTAGATATTCTAATTACACTTCCACATGAAATGACAGTTGTTTATAAACAGTTCAAACCACTGCACAATTTGACTACAATTTATTTTATAACACTAACATACATAATGTATTTCGGATAACTCTGTCATAAGTAGCTCACGCTAGTCCAATGGTAAATTTGAGGTTTTTAACTGTGGGGTTCAATTCCTGTGTAGTTTTGTGCTTAAAAACGGAGAACTACATTGTCATAAGAAAGACTATATATATATATATGTATGTAACATAGCTTTACAATTTAGTCGCGCTCTTTTAAATATATTACTGATATTCTTTTAATAAATATTCAAGGTTTTTTGACACTGTGCCAAACGAGGTTTTCCGACCGCATTTTGACAACAAATTCATTCAATTTTCCAGTAAATTTAACGCTCTTCTTGCTTCCGATTACGATATAACTAGTTTTTTACAAAACGCTACGATTTTTTTCAAAAATTATCACGTCCATATCTTATTTAGTTTAAGGTGATAGTAAGTCACTTTAGTATAGCGACCGCAATTAATTGTATTTATAATTTCCGTTAGGTTCTCACTATACCGTACGCCAGACATTCCCAACCTGTGGTACATGTACCCCCAGGGGGTACATAGGGGTATGAGAGTTGCTAAAGTTTCCCATCGTAGTGATGAACTTGTTGCCAAAAAACAGGCTCAACCATCTCATTAGTATTTAGTTTTTAGTATATTGTTTTGACAATATACTAAGATAATTTATAAATTCACTGAGTTCAATTTATCGATGTTATCAATACTATAAGGTCCTTATGCAGTCCACACATACAGATTTCATAATAACATAATATAAAATCAATATAATTTTATCAGTTTTTGATCCTTATTTTTAGGGGTACGTGGGAACCTGTCTGAATGCCCAGGGGTACAGAGGAACAAAAAGGTTTCTTACATTGATAAAAACCACGTAAACTGCACATATATTTTTTTCTGCATTCATCTTAATTTGTCCACTTTAAAATCAAAATCAGAGACGTGTAAAAATAGTATTTCAGATATGTCTCTTCTCTCCCATACAAAAAAGTAAATGTGCAGTTTACGTGATTTTATCACCAATTATAGACTTATTGGTTCCTTCGCCAGCTTTCTGGGTTTAAACGACAAATGTTTTTTA